ATCAAGGTAATAATAATGAATAAATATTGAATGTATTTAACACTGTACGCAACTGTACCGAAATCGTAAGGTGTATTACACTAAACATTTTAAAAGACAGCGCAATGTACTGGGTGATCGCTTTTTTGTAACCACCTAAACATGGTCGGATTACCACGGACTTGCACCTTCTAATGACTTTTATTTACTTATCTCGTAAATCATTATATGTACGACGCTGAAATTCTACAGGTAGACAACTGAACTAAACAACTAATTATTGGCATAACATTCAGTTTATATATCCACACACAGGTTTATCGGTGGCCAAAAAAGGCCGCACACATTGTGATCGTGAACGTGGAGAGCTACATTTCATCATAACTTTTTAGTCACTTACAGTATTCTTACGAAAATTCGTATACATTTGAAGGTAGTTATAAGCAATAGAATAACGTTTCAAGTAAGTCTTTAGAGGTCTTATTTAATGTGTTAGGACGTATTAAAGTGTTTTCATACTTACCTAAATAATTTTTAAACGGTCCATTATTTTTGTTATTTTATTGTCGAACAAATTAAAACTAATCCTTAAGAAGTTATGTACAAAAGATGGTTACAATCCGCTTACCCGTTTCAGAGATCCAGCAAACCCACAAACGTTACTCCAGCAGGATTTCGAATAACTTCGCAGCCGAAGAAAATACAAATACCAAATAAGTTGTAACATTTACCTAGTCCAGATAACTAATTATTTAGCTAAAATTTATTTCAATATTACAATTAAAAAAGAAAATGTCTGGCTGCGGTAACGTTTCAAACGTTACCCCAGCAGGAAATGTTTTTTTTGAAATAACTAAAAAAGTTTAAGTGAAACAAATTTAAAAATGTGCTTAACAATTACAGAAGGGGAGCAACTAATTATCTATAAAGTTTAAATGACCATTTTCGACATTATTTTGCTGGGGTAACGCACACGCACGCGCACGCTGTCGAGAGCGACTTGATGTGAAATAAACTCGTACTTGGGCCTTCATAACGTTCTTGAGCTTCGTAATACGCGCCTGTTATTGTTGGCTATACTCAACATACCACAGTATTATAAAATACACAAAGTTAACGGAAACAATATACATAGTGAATGTTGTTCAAGTGAGCTTTACAACAAAGTGAGCCTCGTAAACCTTGAGCAGAGATTAGATACAGTCGGTGTGAGTGCGGCAAAAACTTACGATAGGTGCGCGTGCGCTGCGCGCCGCCGGTAATTGGACCGGATGCCTATCACATTGCTCTATACGCACACATACCCACTCCACCGACTCCCATACGAGTTATGTGCGAGTCGAAGCCGCCCTAACGGGACCACCGGTCACACAAACCCGCACCTGAAACACCGCGCATCAGAGGCCTCCGCCGGAACCACTCACCTCACCATACTTCAAACATTGGTGGTAATTAATATTGTTTTTAATCAAACTTAGTTTTAATTGCACCTTGCACTTCTGCAGTACTTTACACAAACAACCCTGTCCCTATAGAATCCCCTCTTCCTAATCGGGCTAGCCTCTAAATGTGTTCAGAAACCTGTCTTTGTTCCCACTCACTTTCCCTTATATTCCAAAACATTACATTTGAACAATAAGTACTCAAAAAATTAAACGTGCTACGTGTCAGTACTTTACAAAGAATGTTTGTGTGAACGCCACCAAGAATGTTGTTGGGAAAACTATTAAAATAAAAATTAATTGTTGAAGTCATCGATCGAAGCCCCAGGCCTTCTCAGTCGAGATGTGCGACGCGGTGTGGCGCTGATCGCGCCGGACGCTTGTTGGCATTCTAAAGGCCGTCCGGCCGCTTCCTCTACACTCGTTACTCGCGTATGCTAATGAGTGTGTTTAAAAAACAGGTGCACGACCACACGACGTGTGAGAGAGTCTCGTTGTGAATGATCACGATAATATTTGAGATACAGCACTCACAACATAAGCTCATTACCACTTGAAGTAACGCAGCTGAACTGCCTTGCTCAGGTCACTCACAAGGAAGGAATTCAAATGTTTGCCTAATTATTTACCTAAATACATTTTATCCATTAAAAAACTGTACCTACTAAAGTAATAGTTTATGATAAAAGCTTTTAACAAACAGAAATAGTTGGAAGTTTAGGCCTAATCCCTTACTCTCACAAGATTTCAGTAGTCTCAAATTTAAAATGATGACAAAAATTATATTTTTTTTTATTTAAGTGAACTCGTTTTAAAAGTAGACCTTATATCTAATAGGTACTAATCTGATTAGCAATGGATAGACATATTTTTATTTATTTAACTACTTATATGATAATTTTGTTCCCTTTATATAAGGTGTAATTGTAAGTGCGCACGAATGTGGCGAAGTTACAGCGACTGCAACGGAAATAATTTAATTTGTGTCAATTGTACACAATAAAAAATAAGTGTATTTTGAAGATTAAACTGAGTTGAACTCCGACTCTGAGTTCGACTGGTTTATTTCGAGATGATGCTGCTATTTCAGTGATTGTATACCTGTGCGGTACAATTCGTTAGTTGTGACATTTTTGGGAATGTTTAAGAGATATATTAGTCCTACTGATAAAATCTTGAACAGAAAAAGCGTAATTTGAAAAACAAGCCCTTTTTAGGAATTGGGGTCTTTATCCATCGTGGTTTCCAGACGGCTAATGACCTTGGTCGAAAGTGTTCCTATTGCCGGTAACAAAACAATTAAAATAGTTTCAACAAAGAAAATACTAATGATTTATTTAAGAACTAAATGAAATTTTTTAAAAAATAAGAGAATACTGTAATTTATACCTAGAATAGAGTGTCACCACCCCTATTCATCCCATGGGTGTCGTAAGAACTGACTAAGGGAGCAAACTACGCAGGACAACAGCATTGCAAAGAGAAGGAACACTTGAAACAAACCCTATACCAACGCGTCTGGCCAGCGTGGTATAGTAGGCCGAAACCTCCTTTCTAAGGAGAGGCCTATGTCCAGCAGTGGACTAGTAAAGGCTGTTGATGATGATGATGATGTTATACCTAGATGGGTGCGGGAGTGCGCAGCGCCGAACAGGAAAATGTAAATGAGAACGTCACCGAGAGTGGCGACGGCGAGCGGCGACAAATTGCACTTAGTTATAAACAATCGCAATGTGACATAAATATAAAGTTGAAAGCAACCTGCCATTGCGTAACTACTGTGACGCTGATTAATGTGAAGAAAGTTCGAGATTCATACATTCATTCATCATGAATGAATGAAAAACAAAGCATTTTTAATTAATTGTATTAGCTGATAAAAAAAACAGTCAAAACAGGTCAAAATAGTGGAGTAACATGCCTCTTGCGCATGGGCCGTCAATTCGATGGATTACAAGAAAAGAAGGAACGCTCTCACCGATTGACATACAGAAAGCATCCATATTAAACGATAATGTCGTGACTAACTGACAAATGTTGTTTAGAGTTCATAAATCTAATTATTTTTGAAAAGACGATTTCCATATTTTGATTAACATAATTGTTTTTGGAATGATTAGGTAACTGTATAAACATTATTTAAGCTCTTCCAGTAACGCATTAAATACGAAGTTCAGACGACGAGGCTGGAAAATACTTTATATTTTACGCAAAATGGTAAACCGATACGTAAATTTTGGTCAGTTCTTTTTAAAGGCTTAAAGGTATGCAAAATAAATTGTTTAATCGATTGTGCAATATAAATACGAATCGTTACATACGAGGAGTTTTGACTTTTCAAAGTAGGCTTCTTGGGTTTTATAAAATAACTACGAATATATTTAGAATAAACCACGCGCATTCATCTTAAGAGACAATACATATACCGAATATTCAGTACATTGTACAATGTGTATTACAGACTACAACTTGTTATGCAAACAGTTACATTCGCCTGTTAACTAAGTCGGTGCTTAGCACTCTACGCTATATTTGTTTACATACAGCGATACACAAAGCTTTCAAGTTTCAGCCTCTCCACACCTCATCCCTCCCCGCGTATCTATGACTTGCCGTTAGCCGCAACTGTGCCAACGCTCACTGGACTGATGCAGGTTTGCATAACACTTCGGCTGTGCAGTTGGTGTACCGAGAGCTTTAGTCATATTTTGACTGTTACCTAATGCCTTCACTGTCCCCCTCTTCGCCGTCCTTACGAGACATCGGGGTCCCTTACGGTATTTAGTGACAGCACGATTGCTATTTACTATTCCCCTAGGCAGAGGCTTGTTGAATATGGTAAGTAGCGATGTTAATGAGGCTTCGCTTACGATCACTACTGTAATTAGGGCAATCATTCCAGACGAGGTTTCGACCACCGGCTGCAGGTGACGCCACACCTCTTAGGATTTGCCTCATGTGCTCTGCTCTGTATACACACAATTTGTGAATGTTTTCATTGTTATAGAGATAATGTAATCGTAAGAATAAGAAAAAGAATCAAAAATACCTAAGCATTTTTTGTCATCAGAAAACTACATGATACTAAAAGAATTTATACATCTCAGCAACCTGTCCGCTGGCGGGATGAGGGTGCGGGTGAAGCGGCGGGCAGACTTGGGGTGTATAGGGTACGATAACAATGCCCCGGCGGCGGCAGGTAGCGGCGCCGCACAGCCTTACGTGGCCTTGTTGTCAATGACACGCTCTACACACCAAGTAAGGTACTTGTCACAGTATTTTTCTGATTCCAGATTGTGGTCGACGCCCGCAATGGTAGTAATTTTTTTTTACATAATTAGAACGATAAAAGATAACTAGAAAGAAGTAAAAGCACGTTATAAGTGACCGGAATGTCTGTTGTCTTCAGCGTCAAGTCCTCTAAGAGCTTAAAAGCCATTCGACACATACACGGACAGACACACGCACACAAACTACTATGTGGAGCTTTCGAGCGCTGAACACGACACAAAAAGTAATAATCATCACAGCGGCGCGGCTGCGCGGGCGCAGTGTTGGATGCGGGGGGCGCGCGCTCACCTTGTAGCTTCTTCTCAGTCTCCCAGAACTTCTGCAGCTCAGTGAAGTACTTGTCGAGGATGAACACCTTGGAGAGGCCGAGCGTGGCCATGGCGGGCGGCGCGCTCGCATCACACTCCGCGGCCGCGCCGCTTCCTGCGCACTGTGGCGACCACTCGTGTGCGCGTCTACTCGCGTACTGCCGCCCCGCACCGCGCCGCGCCTCGACGCCCCGTTGCCTCCCGCCCCCTGACCCGGCACGAGCGACACCTACTTTTGGACTAGAAATATTATCTTCCGAGCGTTCGGCAAGCGACCTCGATAGAGATACCTCGAGGCAACAGCCGCTGCTACACGGACAGTCGGGCAGCCAGGTGCGGACCCGGCTCAACGACCGTACCAGATTCTCAAACATTAAACGAAAATCGACGACGGCATGCGCGGGATGACCCGGTGGTATTACAGATAAACAAGAGCAAATTTGTTTAAGCTCTTCGAAAGCCAAAAGTTCATTTCTTGCAGTACACGAGTGCTCGCTGGAGGCTGCAGGTGTGGTGGGGAGACAGCGCGGTCCGCGGAGCTGCGGTATAGATAGTGCGGGGAAACTGGTTTATTTATTTGTAAGCGCACGCCGAAAGCTTTGCTCGGGCTCCCCGCGGCACGCCGGGCGCCCCTCCCTCGTAGCTATAACTGTGCAAGGCGCGTACTCCACCCGTCCCTTGCCGGCTTAAAAGTGTTTTTGATGTATTTTACATAGTTGACTTTAAACCACGAACTATTCGCGCAGACCATTTTCTATTACCGCTTTATTTGTTTCTAAACAATGTATCGTCCACACGCTGTCATTCGACACATCCATTTGATACTAACGAGATACAAGTGTTAGAATGAATATTCACCTCTATCACCTATTCATGAAGAAAACCCTGTTGTACATAATATGGTTCTGTTATTGCTTTATAACACTGTTACACAGTGGGAAGACTCATGATGCAGTGCCGATGGTGGTGCGGACTCCTCATGATGTCACAACACCTGACTAAGTCACCACACGACAGACCCGACTCCTCATATACTGACACAGGTACAGTGGCAGCGAGTGCTGGCCATCAGGATCATAAGGGGGTACCGCACGATCTCCTTTGAGGCGGCGAGTCTCGAGAGTCGAGAGCCCTTGCGGCTCTGTATCAGTGGTGCAAGGAGGCGCGTGAGTTGGGTCGGTGTCCCGAGATTCGAGAAATCGATGACCGGAAATCCCAACTCCGCCAGGTCATCATAGGGGAGTCAAGGGAACGACTCGGGCAACCGAGCGCCGGGCACGCCGTCATCGCGGCGGTAAGACCCGTTATGGAGGATTGGCTCGAGAGGCGTCCCGGGACCCTCTCATACCGACTGACGCAGGTGATCACTGGGAAAGGATGTTTCGGGGATCACCTGTGTCTGATCCGCAAGGAGCCAACGCCTGAGTGCCACCACTGCGATGGCCAGACCGTGGACACGGCTCTCCACACGCTGGCAGAGTGCCCGGCATGGGTTGAGCAGAGGCGAGACCTCGTGGCGGCCATCGGAGTGAGAGTTCTCTCGCTCGATAGCCTGATTGCGGCTATCGTGCGGAGCGAGAGTGCGTGGAACTCTGCCGTCTCCTTCTGCGAGCAAGTTATACTCGCGAAGGAGACGGCAGAGTTCCACGAGGCCAGGTACCGCAGGCGACTCAGGCGCTGGAGGTCGCAGAACGACCTCCGTCCTCCATAAGCGCAGGCCTGGGGGTGACAGGTGAGGCCATCTGTCACCCTAGCAGAAGCAGGCTGGGGTGGCGGCGAGCGCGTTGCGAAGTGCGCTCGCTTTCAGGAAGCAGAGGGAACATGGGGTTCCCACACGGGGAGGGGGGGGCGTCTACCTGTTGTTTTAGATGGCCCGAGGTATGTCCGGGCACCAGGGACTTCCTTTCTAGGGTATACCTGGTTCCCCGGCTATTAGTACCCGAGACGGCGTGCGGTTTTAGTCGGTTCGAGTCCGACATGCCACCACGGTGGTATCCGAGGGGATTTCCGAACGGAAAAAAAAAGGGGCAGCGGGAGCAAGTGCCCAGGGTGGCAAAAATTTTTTTAGTCATCAAGATTGCGCAATATAAATAATTAATTCTGTTAATTAATAATTTTCTGTTTAATTGATAATTCAAGAAATTCAATTATCCATTATTGGTGAATTATAATTTTGTCACTTTTAGTAAAAATTAATAACTAATTTATTTCCTTGGAGATTTACAATAATAATCGATTTTTATATTTTCTGTAATTAAAGAAATTGAATTAGATATTTTTTTTGAAACATTGAAAAAGATCGGAATTATTTTTGCATTTTTCAAAACATAAACTTTAATCAATCAATTAATTTAAAAAAAATGTTATAATTTATCGATTGCACCAATTAATTTTAATTAAAAGGAAAAATCTTATATTTTTGCATTTAATAAACTTGAAACAGCGCATGCTGCCACCTACAGTCTGGAGATCATGAGATGTGCAACTGTCAGGTCGGGACCATTTTACTGTTAATACTTTTAATGTCATTCTTGACAATCTGGATTCTGAATAGCGCAAAAGATGTGCAGCATATGAAAAAAATCAGCCAAAGTTCTCAGTTATCCCTGAATTTGGCAACTTGTATAATAGAGAAATTCGTAAACGATCTGAACGTTTAAGAAATGTTTATTCTACAGATCTCGAGTCCTCATTGGATGATGAATTTGTGAACTTCCATGCTTATTGCACTGAAAAAATGATGAAACAGAATTCGCTTTCCGATCTTTGGAAATTACTGATGCAAACGACCTGTACACTGAGTTTCTAAACGTGGAAAACGCCTTTCGAATATTTATGACATTAGCTGTAACAAACTGTAGCGCAGAACGATCGTTTTCATGTTTGAAGAGAGTTAAAAACTTCTTACGTTCTACAATGTCTGCTAATAGACTCAATAGCTTAGCTATTCTCTGTATCGAATCCGACGTACTTCAACGTTTAGATTGCGAAGATTTAATCGACCAGTTCGCAATTCAAAAAGTCAGACGTGTTTGCCTGTCAAGATATTGATGTAATATAATTACGAGTCGGGTGACTCATAATTAGAGCCAAATTTATGATTGTTGGAAAATAACAAATATTTATTTATGTTTTTGGAATATATAACATATAATAAAGTTTCTGCAATTAATTAGTTATTTTAATTTTGAAAAATAAAATATATAAACTATAAGTTTAAGTAAAATTCCAGTAATGGGGCGGATTTTTTTCCAGTGCCCAGGAGCGGCAGTAAGTTTAAATCCAGCACTGAATAAAAACATACATGAAACGGACACAGGGAACATCCAGACTCAGAACAACAATTTGTGGAACACACAAAGTGTCGTCCCATGTGGGGATCGGCCCCACAACACTCAGCATAGTAGTGAGCGGCGTGGCGACCGCTTAAACCACTACGCCATCCGTGCGTTACGAGCGGGGTATATAATAAATAAATGTGTCGGTTAATTACTTTTATTGCATTGTACTTACAAACGCTCACTATAATAAACTAGAAATTACTATATATCGATTGGCTAATGTACATATCACTATATATCACTATATATTATTTGGAAATCAGGGATGATTTGGAGCTCCATCACCGCGACTAAACTATCGAATACAGTAAATAAAAATGTATCTGGAACCAAAACTAAACCTGATAAAATAGTTTTAAATAATTTCAGATAGGGTCGGAGTCTAAATGCAGGAGTACACACACTTGCTGCACATAAAAAATACAAATATCAACCAGTCTATTACAGTATTTTTAATTTACTAGAAAATGATGAGAAATAAAGCCAAAGCATTGAAAGATTGTTTTTTTTTTATATTTGTTAAATCAGACCTGCATTATTTAGGGTACGTTATCAACAGATATAAAAAATATTTGCAAACCCTCGTAACTTTCCCGTTTGGTCCAATTTAATGGAGGACGCAAATCCTGGTCCCACCCTATCCTGTGTCGCGGGGGACTTGACAAACGTACATGATACGAACACAAAAAAACACCCAGAGTCAAAACAACAATTTATGTATCACACGAAGTGTTGTCCCGTGTGGGGATCGAACCCACAACACTAAGTAGAAATCGATGAGGTGACCGCCTAAACCATCACGCCATCCGTGCAGTCAATTACACTGACAAAATAAACCGAGAATCACACAAATAATAATTTATTACCTACATACCCAACAAACAAAAATTGTTCTTGAAGTGACTTTCATGACCAAAAATAATATTCTTATAGGAGCCGCATTATCGCTAATAAGGGTGCGTTTGGGCACAAATTATAAGGACAATAACTTATACCCCTCTTGAAGTTGCTTTATTGTCCGCTTTTTTTCCTTATACGTGTTATATTATGACAAGGAACAAGGAAGTTGAACTTATAATGGCAAGAAAAAAGCTCCTAAAAAGCCACCTCATACACTTGTAAGAAACATATAGAAAGCATATACGGGCCATTATAAGGTAGTTAAACTCATTGCGGAAAATCAAAGGCTCTTAAAAAGCCGTACGCCCTTAAAGCCGTCTGTTTATGATTCTGCAATAAGTCTTTTTCTTAGTGATTTGGCATTTTCGCAACAGTTTGGCTAATAAAGAGAAAAGTCAACCATTTTATAAGTGAAAAGTGAACGGTAAGTAATTATTTTATGTATTTACCTAATTTATGTGCTCATTTATAGAGAAAAGTGGATGGGAATTCAAATGCATGATAAAATGTGGTACGCTGTGTGTTGTAGAATCAACGCGCCCTTGAATTTTAGCTGTTTTTGTGCTACAAACGTTATAAATTATTTTGTCATGTTATAAACAGTGCTATTATGAGAGCAAAACGATTCTCACATCGTCTACAAGGAGTCTATGAGAGTGAAGACTTTATAATGGAAATATTTGTTGCATAGGCTATCGCCATTTTAAATATCGTTAGGGTTCCTTTCTCACGAACAAAATTCTGTACCTAGTTATTCTTGTTCCCATAATTATAGTTGTATAAAATTTATGTTTCACACTATGGTTGGGTTGGCTGGAAGAGATCTCTTTATAGGGACAAGCTTGCGTTTGTGCACTAATTTTAAGTTTGAAGTATAATTATAATTCTAAGTACTTACACAATAAAGAATATAATTATTTACACAAGGTGTAGTTTTGCATCCTTGTCAAAATTCAGGAGGTTGTCAAAAAATACATAAATAATCAATTTAAATTACGGTACGTGTTCAATAATTAATAAAGCTGCTATTTTAAATTGTTTATATTTGACAGTATTTCAGATCGAACTAAAGTTATTTTAACAACACAAACATGTATGTGAGTGTCGTCTCGACGGTTGACGCGACTGTCGGCGCGGGCGCCCGCGGCCGCCCGCCGCGCGCCGGCCGTTTTCTAGATACCTACAATACAGGCTACAGTGAACGATAGCCATATTTTATCTAGTTCGAATTCTAAAATCACCTACCTAATGATAATTAACTCATTTTTAAGCATCACTAAAAAGCGGAAATCTTACTCATGAAAGTAGTAGGTACCTACTAGACTAGTACCTAAAGAAAGGTCACGTACCTTACAGACTGAGTACGGTAACTTTATCAGCTGATTAATAAAATGTTAGTTTTACTTTATTACGTTTTTTTGTAATCCTGCTGAACGGACAATCCCAAAATTGGTAATCGGTCCTATTCCTATATCTGAATAACAAAAGCATGTAGGTAGGTAGGATTAAGTATAACCTGAGCCACGGTACTATTATAATAGTACCGTGCCTGAGCCCCACATCTGTTAGCGCGCGGG